ACCGAGCGATTTTGGTATCATTCGATTCACCGCATTGAGACGAATCGAATGGTACCAAAAACGTTCGATTCTGACTATACTAGATCACGCGATATTGGCCGTAGAAGTTACCTGCGTCATAATACCCCCCTTTACCTTATGTAATATTTACCTTTTAACTCCTTATTTTTGTAAATTACAATGTTTAAAGTGACCAATTCTACTGGTACCAAATCGTATGTTTTTAAAGGAAATGAGTTTGAAGACAAAGTGTGTTATAAACTGATTTTGCTGGATATGGGAGTAAACAAATCAAAGTAAGAATTTATTTTTTTACTGAATATTTGATCATTATGCATCTGAAGTTACGCTGACACTAGAATGGTAGAGTGGCAAAGAACTGGAAGCACATCGGGCCACCATCTAAGGTTATTGGTCAGGATAATTGAGTGGTGAACGTCCTTCTTTAGTTACTTATCATTCGAAAGTCGTAAGATTGTGGTGAATAGGATGCATGGTTAAATGACCCGTACCTTGACCTTCGGTAACTTACCATTAACAATATAATCAATTATTCATAATTTTTTTTTTTTTCATAGAAAAACAAATCAAGGAGACAATGGAATCGATATATAAAGGTTATACCTTTTTAGTACAATGTAAAAACTATGAAGAAGATAACGCAAATCATGGTAATGCTGTAAAGGGTGATATAATGAAGTTCGAAGGTGCAATGTCATGGTAATAATTTGGTTTAAAAAATAAAATAAAATAAATTGTAATTTTATATATTTTCTTTATATTGTAAAAATAATGTTACATAACAAGTTAAATTAAACTACACTTAAATATTTATTTATATTGAATTAACTTATTAGTACAAACTAATCTTATCGCTTATTAGGTATCCTCAAATTTCGTTTGGAGTTTTTGTAGTTGCAAAAACAGGTGGCTATACTGAACCAGCTAGATCAAGAGCTCGTGGTTCCCCATACAAAATATTACTTACTGATTATGAAAATGTCTGTGAGGATGTTATGAAATTTATACAAAATTTAGAAAGTTCTAAAGATCTGAATAAAGTTATTAAGAGTGTAGAAGATTTAAATGAATTAATAATTAAAAATAGCATAACTTTAGCAGAAATAAAAAAAAATAACAGCAAAACAAGTAAAAGAATAGATCAATATGATGATGAACTAAAAATTCCATTAAAAGATCTAACCAATTTGGTTAACAAAATGTACATCGGTAGTTATATAATGTTTGGTACATTATTAGGTATAATAATTTTATTATTTTTTAAATAAAGTAGCAATGATCCACTAAATCGTTGTATTAAAATCATTCATTTCACATTGAGGTACTCGGCCAACTAATTAAGTCAAAACTATATGTACCATATAAAATTAGTTATTGAGGTTTTTTTTTTGAATTTAGTGATCAAAATAATGATCAGAATAGTGATCGGAATAGTGATCAGATTTTGATACATTTAGGTAGGATTTCTTAATAATATATTTTATGATAACGATAAAAAAACCCCGTATTGGTACATTCAGCATCCATGGATGCCGAAATAAAACACGTGACGTGTGACGATCGATATGGGTCGGATCAAAGATCGGGCATACGGGAAATTAATGATGGATAAGTGACGTATAAATGAAAAATATCGTAAAAAGGTTTATAGCGATCAAGCGAAATGTCTAATGATCTGCGTTATCGTTATATATCGATATATATATAGATAATTTGAATTCAAAAATTATTGATATTTGAAGCACAAAAAATTTTCTTTTGAGTGAAA